AAGCAGCATATGGACTCTTCAACCAACTGGTATTACAAATGCATGAAACTATCACAATTAGAAAGAAAACAGCAGTTATCTGACCTGTGCACAAGAAAGCTGGATCAAATTATCTGAGTTAATGTGGTTGAGTTTCCTCTTGTATTCCCAGGGCTTTGCCATTTGCCTTGCACTCTTTTAGGATTGTGTGTGTGTTCTTGTGAGGATTGTTGCACTTCAGTTTGTTCCTGTTACAAATAGTAACATGTACATGTGCTCAGAAAACACCATCTTTCCTGAAATTTCATTAGTTCACATGGAACGTGTTCATACAAGTATACATATGATTAACTAGCTCACTTGGGCATAGCTTAGGGTAAATAGAAGCCGAAAAAAGAAAAAAAATCTTCAAAAGCTTTGCCTTTAAGGAAATGGTTTCAAACACCAAGATGTTCTGCTTCACAAAACTACAAACAGTGTGCCATTTACACAGGCACTCTAGGCATTTGCTTGTCAGCTCTCCTCTTCTTTAAAATCTTCTATGCTTTTATGTGATATTTAGGGCTTAGAGTCTAGTTTCATGCCAAATGCGGTTCCTTGTTGCTGGGGCTACATAAACTAATGTAGAAAGAAGGCCTGAAGGAATTAATGGATATTCCTATCACTTCCAAAATGGTACAGACAGAATAAAAAAAGTAGAGAAATACTTTGCCTACCTTGGCTGAGAAATAATTTTGCGGTCTGACCACCTTCTGCTCAATTAGTTGAAGAAAAAAAGCTGGATAAAGTGTTACTGTGCTTCAGACCTGTTTTTTTAACTTTTACATTATTCCTCTCAATTCAGATTTAAGTATGATTTCCCAGAAAGCAGTTGTAAATGCCCTGATTGCAGACGTTTCAATATCTACTTGTGTTATAGAAGATGAAGGACTTGGGAAAAATTCCTGCCTTGATGTTGCTGAAATTTCTCTGTCCAATGTTGTGTCCTTCAATGCTGAACCTTTCCTCCAATTCCAGTTCCTCAAATTTAGTATTTATATATATATATATATATAATCATATTCCGCAAAAGAAACAGTGTATATATGTATATAGATAGCTGTAAATTTAAAGCCTCTCTGCACACCAGTGGGCATGGACAGTCTTTTATTTCTGCCCTGGCTGAATGATTAATTTATTTTAACCTGGTTTTCTTTTTCTTTTTTTTTATTTTATAACTTTGAGTTTTGGTTGTATGAGTTTTATTAAGAATCCATAACCAAGAATGAACAGAAGGAAAATTAAGAATAATGTCTCTGGTTTTGGAATGTTGTTTGTGGTTTGTTTTTTTTTTTTTAAAGAATAATTTTGATTCATCTTCAAATTACTTTCATGTTTTGCAGCAGTAAGACAAAAAGGGCCATAATCTTTTTTTTTTTTTTAATAAAGGAGAATCATCTTGTTACCTTTTTGGAGAGTGATGTGAAGGGGAATATATTTTCTTTATGTAATGATACTTTTAGTGTATTCTACCACTACAAAACTTTGTATTAGCCAGGTGGTTTTGAAGGTCAATACTGTTATGTACTTTTTCCAAATTATGCAAAATCCTTTGACCACATGTGCAGCCTTATTGGGGAAAGAGAGTCTGCAAAACTATAAAGCCATTTGTGAGTTATATAGTAAGGGAGACTGCTGTTTGACATCTTATTATGAAGAAATGGAGTAGCTGAATTTTTGCTGATGAATTACAGTTGTACAATATCACCTTTCCTAGGAAAAAGCTGGCTATGCATTTAATATTGATCTGAATTTAACATTTTAAAAAATTAAAAATCAATTTACTTTCGTAAAAGGAAATTACTATACTTTATATTTAAGAAGCACAGTTTGTAAATAAAAAGGTGGCTTTGTTTTCAGTCTGTGCTTTATTTCAGTGTAGCTTTTTGTGGGACTCTAGCAAGAAACACTAAATGATATTTTAATTGCTCTTTGTAGCTGAACTTCTCAGAAAGGCTTCTTATTGTTTGGGGGTTTTCTTCCTTCCTCGCTCCTTCAATATTTTGCCTTCTGGCTTTTTTTCAATCTGTACCTCCTGTTTTGATGCTGTCTTATTTCAGTTCTTCATTTCTCTGCTTTCTTTTACCGTTTCAGAAGAATGATCAAGTTAAGGCTTCCTCTAATCTCACACCTGCCAATAAGGCTAAGGTCAATGCAAAGCCAAAGAACCAGGAAGAAAAATTTACTAGAGGAATGCTGGCATTTTTATTAATGTGACAAGTATTTTTTTGTGTGTGCAAGTATCAAATACAACAGTATTTTTAAAATCCCATTCTTTTCTCTGTTAAAGACAGTTTAAATTTGATCTTATCTTGCAGTCTTGCTGGCCTCGACACAGACGTGTGAATGGCACAGTTTTTGGTGGAATCTGTGCACCATGTACGTGTTTTGGTCATGCAGAGTTGTGTGATGATATCACGGGAGAATGCCTGGTAAGTGTCACTGCAGGTAACTTGATGGACCTGGCCAAGATCAATTCAGTATACCTGTGCAATTGAATTAATGACTGCTGCAACTGGAAATACTCAAGGAGAAACACAAAAACAAACAAACCACCAAAAAAACAGTGATTAGCAGAAGAGATCTTTATGTTGAACTGTTGCTGAAGTTAATGAACGCTTCATACCAGGATATGGTAGCTTCTGCAGTTAAACAAAAGGAATTTTTTATTCACATAGGATTTACGTTTTGAAATAGAATCAATAGTATAAGGTATGGCATGCAGAAAGCAGAAAATACATCAATATTCTTCCATGCAAGATTTATCTCCCCCTCCCATCTGTCTCCTGCAGCATATTCAATTTATACTATGTAGCAGGTAACTTTGTAAATTCTCTTCTAGTATGACAAGAAGATGTTAATGGCTGCCTTCATCTAAATTCCCACTAAACCTTGAAGAAACACTTAGTAAATTGTACTTTGAAAAATAATAAAAGCATATAATTTTGACTAAATCAAGGTTTTGTTTTTTTTTTTTCCTTAGAGGCTATGGAGATTTTATGTAGTTACCTACTAATTCAGCAATTAAATCTGTGATATTATCCATAGCAAGCCTACCAGCACACCACAATTTCCATCCTGTTCTGCAGCCTCTACAATGGGTGAATTATGCTGAATAAACTGTTCTGATTAACTCAAGGGCATTTTTAGTTTTATATTGTCTGACATGGCATGAAGCTTGAAACAACATTTCTCATTTCATTAGTCTTGCAGAAACACAATTTGAACCAGTGCCAGTTTAGTGGGATATCATACTCTCATTTCCCTGCAGAATTTCAAGCAGACTCTGTATTGTGCATGTTTCTAAATGTTCCCTTTTATTTCCTTAAGAAAAAGCTGCTGGGAAAAATCCAATATGAAAATTCAGGCTTTTTTTTCAATGTAATTTGGCACTTAAAATTGTCATTGGTCTTCCTGTTTTGCCCATACAAGATGTTTAATTGCATTGTAGTGCAAAACAAGATATCCTTAATGTGTGGATGAGTGAATTTCTCAAACCGCTTTTTCATGAATAGAAGCCTGAAATGATTCTCAATTTAATTATACTATAAGCCTTTAAGAACTAGCTAGGATAAAAAATATGGATGACATGGCAGTCATGCTTTGAACCCTTCAGTTACATGCAGTGAAAATGTTTAGGGTAATACGAATTTGTGTTACTCAACAAAGATAAAATTTATTGCATCAGTGACCATAGCCTCTGGCTACAATGTCTGTAAGACCAGTGTGTGATAAAATCAACTAACGGAAAAGAAAGGGAAGGGAGAATCCTGTGTAAGGCATATCATAACTATTGACTATTTTGCTTAGAGGTGCATAGCTGGATGCGAGTTCTGAGGTTGCTTGCTTCTGTGTCTTCAAGTTTTAGCCCTTGCACAAGTTCCCTCTGTGTTTTTTGTCTGCAGCACCAGCCTGGATGTGAGAAAAGGCTGTATAGTTATATACTATAGTGCTTTTGCACTTTTCAGCACTTGTGAATTATTGACTGAGACAGTAGAGCTCCCCCTTCTGATATTTGAAGGGTGCTGGTGTAAAGATAGCACTGACGAGGAAGTGGAAAATAACCAGTTGAAAATGTACTTCAATCTATACGCCTTATCAAGCATTCTGTATTTTATGGGTTCCGTCTGAGCTTATACTAGATCATGCTATAAAGTAGAGGCGCACAGGGAGCTTAAAATCAGTTCTGGATATTCTTGCAGCTTACTTTGAAAACACGGTAAGTGAAGTTAGATTGGTTAGTATCCATGCAGGCTATTAAATGCTGTTATTCAGTTTGGATCATAAGCCTTTTGAAGTGAAAGAGAGAGAAGTCTGAGTGCCGAAAAAGAGAAATGTTTCACATCAAAGGCATTCTTTCTATTGAGGTTTACACAGCCTTTTGGCCTCCTTATTATTATTCATGGTGTTTTTTCAGTAATACAACAGACAATTTAGGCACCTAATTTACTGATATGATACTTCGTTTTTGCTCTTCCTTAGCTTTGAAATGTAGTTGAAAAGCAGAAAAAATATGTTTTTGACTCATGATAAAAGCTCAAATCGTCTGCTTCAACATAAGCCTATATAAAAAGCTCATTTTAACGCATATCTTGCAGTAACCTGCAAAGCCCTTTGATCCCCACGGCAACCATATGGAAAGCTGCACGATACATCATTCTCGTTACCGTTGTGATATACATAACTGCTTTGGTACACAGGGCAAGTTTTAACATTCAGAAATACTCTTTTGTAGTGTTACACACACACACATTTACGATAACATTAGGAGATTGGTTAAACCTAAACCTTTTGAAAAGCAAATGTATTTCAAGGTGTTTTCATTCATTGCAGGATACTATGTTGCCATTAGTAAGCCCAGAGAAAGTAGATCTTTCTCCCTTCAGATATGCTCAAATTGCTAAGTGGGCAGTCCCCAGTGGCATCCATTTTGTATTTTACCCCTTTGGGTGTAAACAGCAAGTACCATGTAAATTGAGGACATGTGCTTTAGACAGTGTTTGTCACAGGAGTGACAAAATGTCTTCACCCACCTTCATATACATGGTAACACAATGATAGATCCCCAGGTAAATGCACTGTAGGCTATAACACAGGTGAAAATTGTGTGAAGCCTCTGCAACATCCCTATTGCATTTGTAACCCCAGGAAAGAGAGTCGTCCATTTAATCTTGACATTACGGTAGTTTGAAAATGCCAGAAGACCACATTCATGCTTCCAAAGATGTAATACTGTTGTCTCGTCTAGATGGCTGGGGAATATACTGAAATAGGCACCCAGGCTTACCCTTTTGCTTTCTTTAACCAGCTTAAACTAGCTGCTTCCCTGGTTGTCTCTGTGACAGATATCCTGAGGAAGGGCAGCAGCCTGCCAAAGGTACTATCCGGGACTCAGTCATACTCCCTGATTGAAGTTTTATTTTCATCACCAGGCGTCTATTCAGACTGTTTCTTTCCATATTGATATACACTCAGCTGCATATGCAGCTAAGCAGGAGTGGTTTTCAGTGTGAATTTACGATTCCTTGATACTGGGCATAAAAATATTCGTTTGGTTTCTTCCAAGGAGGGGAGACCTGGCTTGGTATGATGTGGTGGAAAACGCACTCCAGGACATCAGCAGTAAAGTCTTTAGGCAACAAGGTCCGACTCGTACATAAAATTTTGGACAAAAATTAATTTCAGAGTCTTGCTTACTCAGAGGTTGTCTCAGTGAAGTTTAGTGGTGTTTGGAGATGAAAGAGGTCCAGAAAATTGATGCATTTGAAATAGTCTGAGATCCAGTACCTTGAATTTGAGAGCGTAAATATTAGGGCATAAAATCATTTCAGGCCACGAAGTCTTTGGATCTGTGGAACAAAGCATTTATTTTACAAAAGCACTAGATCAGTGTGTTGCAACAAACTGTGTTTCCAAGGGAATAAAAAGAAAGAGTATATCATGAACTGAGCAGATTAAAGAATATCATGAGCAACTGTCTCTATATACAGTATTGTGACGTCAAAAAAAAAAAAAATCCAGGATTCCTATTAAGATGAAATTAATACTTCACTGGCTTAATCATGTTTTAAGGAAATAATCTCAGTATAATTAGATCGCTCAGACTAGATGGTGCTCAAAACCATTGCTGTACATTTGGCAAGTTTCAAACAGATTCAACCAATTGATATCAAGAAAACCCAAATTTTCACGAGTATTGATAACCTCTTCAGAAGGGCTAATAACTCATCTACTTCAGTACTTAAAATGACTCTTAAATTTGGCAAATTAGTATAAAGTTTAATGCATCACTGGAAAGAATTATGTCACCTCTGCCTAATCCATAATCCTTGTTTTTTGTCCTGCAAAATCCAGACTAGCTCAAACAGAGAAGTACAGAACCACACAAGATCATTATTTCTCAGCACCTCTAATGTATATGCAGTGCATTCTATGTTCAGATTTTGGTGCTGTATGTGTGGGGCCCTTTTTTAAATTTGTTGATTCATGGTGAGGAGGTACGCAGATACAGCGATCTGGATTGAGGAGAATTAGGCATGGTACGTGGAAATGACTAACAGTTTCAGAAAATAATTTATCAAAGAGAAGGTGGTCAGCTCTTTGTAACATGAATTGTTTTCCTACTAAATGGAAGGTTTGGGGTTTTTGTATTTAAAAAAAAAGAGAATATACTGCTCTATAAGAGTTGCATAGCTTTAAAATAGTATGTTAGCTCCTCTCACTTTAATAACATCCTTGACATGCAAGCTGTTCATATTCTTCAAAGCCATTAAGATATGTCTGAGGATATTTGAAGCTAAACTTAACACAAAAGAAGAATCCATTATTTTTCAGAAAAAGTACAAATAATTTGACATGGTGCTTTAAAAAAGTTGAGTTGCGAAGGATTTTTCTTTTGAAACAAATTATTTTTGGCATGTTGTCTTTTTAAAAGCATATCTTAATGTTCCTAGCTACTGTTTCAGTATGGCCAGTAGATTCTTTCTGAATGACAGCACTTGAAGTAACATTCAAATGGACTTAAATGAACTAATGAAGTAGAATTTAACCCAGCTAATGGTTCTAAAGCCACAATTTTATTTGAATAAGAGTCTCAGTAGTTGGTATTAGCTCACAATCTATCAAATATTTGAAAATATAATGTTTTGACTAATGCTTTCATTTCAAAGATATGCTGGTTGTATACACCAGCAATAACAATACACCTTTTAAAACAGCAAACGGCATTTCTGGAGACAGATGTTTTTGACTTCAGTGCACCCAGGACTGAAATGGGTATTGTGCTTTTTTGGCTGCCCAAATGTATGGCACTGTCTATGCAGAGTGAAATGCAAAATAATTGTGAAAATCATTGTAATCCTGGAAAGTTATGAAGAAGAAATCACTGTTCTTTAGAATAACACCATTTTCTTTATTCTTTATTGGTATATGTTATGTCTTTCAGACAGTAAGGTTGCTAAGTATCAGTCAGTACCATATGCAAGACTTATTAAAATGAGAAATCAATTTTAAAATGTTCTTAAAAATTATTTAAATTAAACAAGTTTGGAAATATCTACACCTTAAAAAAAAAAAAAAAAAAAGAATTACCCTCAAGCGTTCTTAAGCAGCAGTTTAGGTGAAAAAGGTTCTAGGTTAACATGGCCCATTGTCTAAATCAGATGGATTTTTGGCCTTTTCAAGTTGCCATATGTTTTTTCAGTCTATTCCCAAGTACATCAAGATGGCATTTAAGAGCCGAAAACGTTTATCCTGCTCTCTCTGTTTTCACACTGCGAAAGGACTACACTTGGGTATCTTGTGGCCAACAGCAGCAAAATTAATGGTATGGTGTATTAAGTAATTCAGGCTTTGGTACTGTTCACAAATATATTTAGTATACTGCTAGCCATATACCTCGTAAAATGAGCTCGTGCTTCGGATGTGTCAGGTATTTGTTTTTTTGTGGATAACTTTTCTTTACATAAAACAAAAAGAATATTTAAATGCCGACATTTATGTTTCCACCGTACAGCAGCCTTATTACCGTTTCAACTTGCTTAAAGAAAACTAACCTTCAGAGCTGATGTGAAATGTAATAACTAATTTTTATAAATTCTATATCCTGTTTTGTATTTGTGGGATCAACAAACCTTTTCACAAAATATGGCCTATTTCAAGACTGCAATACTTAAACCTATTTTGTACTGCTCTGAAGGTTGGTTTTCTAGAACTGTTTTTCAGCCAGCAGTAGAAAATGAGATTATATGTTGCAGGCCTCTTAGAAACTTGCTGAGAGGGTGGGCTAGGTGAATGACCTTGAAGGACTTCCCATCTGTAAGTTCTCTAATTGTGAACTTGTACTTTTCATTTTGTGCTTAGGACTGCAAACACCACACAGGTGGTTCATACTGTGATAGATGTCTTCCTGGCTTCTATGGTGATCCTACTAAAGGAACAGCTGAAGACTGTCAGTTGTGTGCTTGCCCCCTAAACATACCTTCTAACAAGTAAGATGTATATTTATTGCATGTTACACTTTTTCACTTTGTAAATTGCTTAACTTTTTAATTTATACTTTTGCATGTACATTTGAGATTTTTTGTGTTTTATTCAAATAATGTATTTTGCAATATGTTTTTTTATTTTCTTTTTATAATTGTACAGAGTGCATAGCTTCGCAGAGAGGCAAACATCAAGACAAATCTGGATGTAGGCTAGAAAAAACACAATCTGGATGACTGCTCTTTGAATGAATAACTAGCATTTGCTTTTCTATCCTCTAGAAGACTAGTTTTTCTAGTTTCAAAGCTGAATTTACAGATTTGATGTTTGGGGTTTTTTTGATAATTGAATTTCATCTGGCCAATATAAATTGATTTTAAATAGTGATTTCTTCTGCTGTTAGTTTTCCATTTCTTCTAGTCAACATGAAGTTAATAATGTTGATTCATTTGGAGTCTGAATTCAGCCTTCAATTTTGCAAGTGGAAATATCTTGACAGCATATCTCAGAATAATCACTATAAATTTGTTTTATTAAATAAAAATATTAGTGAAAAGTTAACAAAAACTCTCATCTAAGAACAAATGACCCTTCATTACAAAAGCTTGCCTGTGCTACTTGCTATCTGTAATTTCACAGACCACGTGGCTTGAACATGTTTTGGTTTCATCCCAGTCCGTACTTGAAAAATAACAATACCAAAACCATTTGACGTGATGTAGTTTAAGAAAACTGGTGTGAATCTTGTCTGGTTAGCTTTTCTTATGCATAATAAAATAAAAAAAGGAAATTCTGTGTATCTGTTTGAATTGGCACGTTTATTTTATGCCATTCAGGATGACTTCAGAGAAAAGGAGCTCTGTTGCCAATAGCACATGTCCAGATTACACAGAGCTGCTGTGGTGCCACACGTAGAATAGTTGTTCAGAAAGTTGAGTATGTGTCTGACATGCTTGCAGTGGTAACTAACGCTTGCCCAAATTCCAGCCACAAATTGAGTACAGCTCCATTCTGAAGAAAATCTCTGTTTGTCCATATAAGCATTTCAGAAGGACTGTAGGATTGTACTGGAAGATTGTAAACTACGCACAGCGGCTGCCCCATCCCCAGCTTTTAAGTAACTTTTAAGTAGCTCTAGGAGACAACAAATTCACTGGAGTAACTTTTTTTCTCCCTTCAGCCCTGCATCTTCCATTTCACCTCATTTTTCCCAAAACAGAAGTCAGATTCTGTTAATGAAATACAATTTACTATGTAAGAGTATAAAAAGTACTTAAGATTTACAGGGCAAAATGCGTGGCTACCATCCTCACAGAGGGGGAGCTCTGCAAGATGCAAACCAAGACAGGGACATCATCTGAATGGCAGTGTGCCAGCATAAGGCACAGATGAACCAGATTTTGCTCTGAAGTTGTTCAGGCTGCGACTGTTAAGGCTGTTGCCTACAGTGGCACTGTGTCCTATTACAACTGTACTGATGGGGGCAGGAATAACCTAAGCACCTATCACCAGAAATTCCAGGGGATTGTAGAGTAGGTGCCTGCCTTCCTGTTATCACAGCTCTTCAGCTGGGTTTATTGGATATACATGGGGTTATGATGTCTGCTGCTCAGGCATGATTCCTCTGATGTCCTCATTGCTTTCACATACTTAGTATTTCCTTGCATAGTTAATTAATTCTTTCTCTTGTTTGAGAGCACTGTACTGACAAAGCAGGAAGAACACCATCACGTTTATATCTTGTGCAGATGTGCAACAAACCAAGTCAAATAGATTGAGTTTAGGTTTTTATTGGAAAAATGCCTGGAGACCTCTATTTCGTATTCATCACTGTTCTGGCTGCTTTACTTTCCTTCTTTGAAATTGAAAAGAGAGTCCCTTTTTTAATATTTAGTCTTCTTGAAAAATATAGATACAAAACGCACGCAGAATATAAATGTTCTTGAACTGTGAAACTGTGGGAGTCCTGAACCCTACAAAGCTTAGCCCTGCATTAGAACTGTGCAATAGCTTCCTATCTCTAAAATGGACAAAAACATAACTTTGAACATCCTCAAGCCTTGTCGAACTCATTGTAAGGTTTAAACTGTCATGACTTTACAGTTCCAGACTAATTATGGCCGATTGAACATGAGCCAGCAATGTGCCCAGGTGGCCAAGAGGGCCAACGGCATCTTGGCTTGTATCAAAAACAGCGTGGCCAGCAGGTCCAGGGATGTGATTCTCCCCCTGTACTTGGCACTGGTGAGGCCGCACCTTGAGTACTGTGTTCAGTTTTGGGCCCCTCACTACAAGAAAGACATTGAGGTCCTGGAGCGTGTCCAGAGAAGGGCCACAAAACTGGTGAAGGGTCTGGAGAATATGTCTTATGAGGAGCGACTAAGGGAACTGGGCTTGTTTAGCCTGGAGAAGAGGAGGCTGAGAGGAGACCTGATCACTGCCTACAACTACCTGAAAGGAGGTTGTGGAGAAGTGGGTGTTGGTCTCTTCTCCCTAATGACAGATGATCGGACGAGGGGGAATGGACTCAAGCTGCGCCAGGGGAGGTTTAGATTGGACGTAAGGAAGAAGTTCTTCACCGAGAGGGTTATCATGCACTGGAACAGGCTGCCCAGGGAGGTGGTGGAGTCCCATCCCTGGATGTGTTTAAGAGACGGGTGGATGAGGTGCTGAGAGATATGGTTTAGTGGCAGACAGATACAGTTGGACTGGATGATCTCTAAGGGCTTTTCCAACCTAGTGATTCTATGATTCTAATTATTAAATTTGCTTATGAGGAAAAAAAGAGTGTTTTGAAGATTTAATGTGTTACCTGAAGGCTGTTAAAATAGTTGTTTTTCTTACTTTCTTAATTTGCAGTGAATTTGGTATGCTAGGGATAATATATGCAAACAATTTGGATTCCTTCACACATTCTTCACGTAAAAAAAATATTTCTACCAAGTCTGTCACTGTATACATGTATATGTCATGTTGTTTCTGAATAACCTAACAAGTGACTAAGTGATATACAAATTATAACTAGCTGACTATAGATTTTAATTTCAGTTGTATTTAATGCCTAACATGGCATGACAGGGCATCCGTAGGTCTCTAAGTGTAATACTGAGTTCATGGTGCATAGAGAATATTGTACATATAATGAACCTCTGAGATATACTTCTATATAAGAAATTAGTTTTGCCTTTTATATCGGTGTCTTATTTCTTTATGATGTTTATATTGGTTCCCAACACTCTTTTCACAGCTTCTGAGTCTTTTTCTTTGCAGTGCCACATAAGTTGGACTGTTCTGTCCATTTTAGAAATGTGGTGCTGATGGTGTTGTTCTATAGTTAAGTTAAGCTGACTTAATTGCTGCTCGTACCCTCTCCTGTATCCTAATGGCAGCAATTTCCATATGCAATCACTGAAGCCAATCATAAAACTGCCTTGTGAAGCACAACAGTGATAAATGACTTGCCATATGTCATGAAAGAGCAGTTGACCAAATCAGGAAACTAAAATTACATTGTCTAAGCTTGTTTTCTAGATCCTGGGCTATATTTTCCTCTTTTTGCATGTATCTCCATATTTGTACTTATATGATGCGAGTGAGATCAATACCCGCATTACAAATGGCATGTGGAATGCATGCTTGCCTTCTTCGTCTTATCTCTTCTCATTAATGCATCACTCTTAGAAACTGTTCTAACATTCTTAGTCTTTAAGGAATTTCAAATAAACTGATTTTATTTTTATTCCCCCCCCCCCCTTTCTATAAATTATCAGGCATTCTAGTATATAATGCTTTCTATGAAATGTAGATGTCTGGGATAATTACTGCTTTTCTCTTGAAGTGGCAATAAATTTAATATGTGTAATGAAGACTCTGACAGGAATGTTTTTTATTGCTAGAAATGGGAGATAAAAGGTAGCTCACTCAGCCTGGGAGGGTCACAAGTAAACTCGTAGCATGTGAACTAGAAATTTGGGCTGGTCTCAGAATTTTAGTATTTTCTTGGAGAATTAAATAAAATAAACTTTTTCCCAGGAGATGTTTTCTATAACGTAACTTGTAAGCCTATAGGAAGCTATCTCTCCTGACATAGACCTGACACATATATACCCATACTATGCATTCGTACTTGTCCCATGTCTTGACTGCTACTGAGATAGTTATCTTATGTAAAAACTGAAAAGAGTGATGATAAATCAAGAGGGATTAAGGTTTGTTGAAGCTTGTTTTGACAGATCAATACACACTGTTCATTAGGATTTATCACTAATGAGTAATGAGATCCAAAATAATGAGGAGAATAAACATTTCTCACTCTTCTCTCACATATTTGTCATATGCAGATGGCAATTTCTCAATATATTAATGTTTAGTGTTGAGATGTGAACTGACTATTAAGTCAGAGTAAAAATCAAAGTATGCTAGGTCTGATCATAAGCTTTAAAACATGGAAATGCTGCTATTAATTATTATTTCCTAGTGATAATGAGTATTTAATTATTGTTATCTTTAAAAATTATGCAGTTGAATTTAGAGCTTTTGGTGGATGTGGTACAGTCAATCTTGTACAGTGCTATAATGAGCTGTGATAGCATCTCCATGAAGTTTCCTATGTAGCTCTGAGAAAGAGTGAGGTTGGAACTGACGAGCAGGAGCTTATTTGAAGTCAGTCAGGTGCTGCTCCTGAGATTCAGTGATAATGTGTGCCTCTGAAAACAGCTTTCATTGTTATTTAAAAATAGAACAAACAATTATTGTTTCTTAAGTGACTCCTCATGCATTCGTGAATCTATTCTTAATGGAATGACATTGCAAAATAAGACAAACATAATCCTCATGGGAAAGAGGAAAATCCCAATACCTGGCTATGTTTACCTGACCTGACCTTCCCACATTTTTCTTACTGGTGTCTTACATCTGTGGGATAACTTGCCCTATGACAGTGTATTTATAAATTGAAATAATGTATAACGGGAACATAATAAAGAGTAACTGAGGTCAGATCACA